AAAAAAAAAAAAAAAAAAAAAAAAGAAAATACTAAAATACAAATGGACTATATATTCTAGTCAAGTCAATGAATGTCAAGCTGGATACAATAACCCAAGACAGCTGTATGGCATTTAGAAATGCTTCCAAAATAAAGGCTTCAGAAATAATAAAAATAAATGAAGGAAAAATATATATATTATACAAGTGATAACCAAAATAAATCTAGTGTAGCTATATTACTATATCAAAGTAGATTTTAAACAAAAAGTCCTATCATCCTTGACTTTTCTTTATCTCATAAGCAATGCATCTACTACTTGGTTCTACTATGAGAACTTTTCAAATCTGACTACTTCCTATACCTTCGTTTTTACTTCTTCCTGCCATCTCTTCTCACTGGGGAAACCAGAATAGCCTCCCAGTAATTGCCCTTTCTCCCTTCACTTTGTCCCTTGACAGACTTTTCTCCACATGTAGCCAGATGTGTCAGGATACATCACTACCATGCTGAGAAAGTCCTTTCATTACAGTTATAATCAAGTAGAAACTTTTGAGTATTGCAGACACTGGCTTTGTCTCTGATCTCATTTTCTGACCTTCTACTTTGTTCAGTTCGTTCTTAATACATAGTGGTCATCTTTCTGTTATTCGAACCTGCTAGAGGTGCTGTTACCACAGGGTCTTTGCAGATATTTTACCCTCTACTTAGAACTCATCTCTTTTACTTACTTGTATATTTGTATGCATTACTCCAGTTCTTTAGTTCTTTGTGCAAATGTCACCTTTTCAGAGATACCTTCCTTGCCCTATCACATGCTTATAATTTTTTTGTTTATAGAACTTAACACTACATGTTAATTAATTTTTAAATTGTCTCTACTTTTAGAATATAAGTTCTAAAGCTAAATATTTTTATTTGGAACTTACCTGTACCCTAAGTGACTAGAACAGTGGCTGACATATGGTAGACATTCAAGTATTTTGAATTGATGAATGAATGGACACATCTATTGTCATAATACCAGCCACCCTGATGCTCTAACTTAAGTATGTTAAAATTTATGTTTTGGTTATGGCTATACTCTGACTCAAACTCCGATTCTTTGTTTCTGGTTTCTTAGTGTCAGTTCCTGTTTTGTATCTTTTTAAACAAATGTTGCTTTCTCAATTGTTATTCTTCTTCCTCAAATTCTATTAAAATTACATTGAACAAGAAAACCCCCTCTTAAAAGAAACAAAAACCTTAGCAAATGCAAAACAAAATAACTATTCTTCTAGTCTTAGTTTTGGTTAGTTAATGTTGGTGGCTACCTATTTGCCCCATCTAGAAACCCCTTCATTCTTTTTTTCTCTTTCCTCTCCTCCTGTATACCAATCTGCATGTACACGCTCAGTCTTCTCCCTAGTTTTACGTATTGTATTTGTAAAAAGCCTTTTGAATCTCTTCTGTCCTTTTTTGGCTTTACTTGTGGTTCAAGTCATCTGTGACCTATACTAATGTGATATTCTTTTAATCTCTCCTTATCTTTGTGTTCTTTTGCCTTCTGTTTTATCTTCACGTTGTTGCCAAGATTGTTGTTATGTATTTTTTTCACTTAGAGTTCAGAGTATAAGCTATCCAGGGGTGGTATGGCTGGTCTGACATTGTCATTGACTTAGTTCATTCCTTCTGTTGGACCATCCTTAGCAAGTAGTGTTTTTAAAGATGCCTTATGGTCCATGATTGCTGTTCATACTCCAGCTGCCTTGTCTATTTTTGGTCAAGGAGAAGTGAAAAGAAAAGTATCAGTCAGCCCTCTTTTAAGAGCCTTTTAGGAGTTCCAACCCAGTGACTCCTCCTAACACCATTTAGCCATTGCAGGCTGTTGGGGAGGCTGGGAAAGCCTTTTAATGGAACATTTGCTTTTAGCAAAGTTCTGTTAGTAAACAAAAGGGAAGGATGGATTTTGGGTGGGAAACCAGCAGTATCTGCTATCTCTGTGTTCTGCCTGCTGAGATCCTTTCATGATCCCAAGTTAGCACTCACTCTTGTGCTTCTTGGCTTTTGCTCATACTTTTTGTTTTGCCTTAAATGTGTCCTTCCTTTTCTACCTGGTTACCACCTACTTGTTCCATAAGATTTAATTCAGAAATAGTGCCTTTCTCTGCGTTATCTCATGCACTTAAATATGTGAGCAATTATAGCATACAAATCAGAAAAAAAAAAAAACCATAAAGTAAAAAATTTGACCTGGAAACAAGCTGTAATGTTTAATTTTCCTTCTTGTTCCCCTAACCAAGAAATGTGACCTTTTGATACCTATGCTAAACCTTAAGTATACTCTTTTAAAGGTTAATTGTGTCAAAGAAGAAACATCAAGATACTGTGGAAAAGAAAAGGATTTGATGAAAGCATATTTATTCAAGTAAGCTATTTTTCTGAGTGTATTGAACAAATTAAATCTATACTCCTAGAATATTCAAATATGTAAAATATCCCTGAGCTAGAATAAAGTTGTATGTAGTGGGAATCATGTAAAACTTAACAAAAAGTTCAAGTAATAGATTTGTTACCTAACCTCTCTGTATTTTAACTTCCTTATTTATAAAATGGAGAGTAATACCTACCTCACAAGGTTGTTTTGGGATGCTCTTGTGTAAGCTCCTAAACAAATGCCTGGTAAGCAAGTGCTTACCAAATTTAATGTTCTTGGTAGATATGTCCGGTCCATATTTGGGTGTGAAATAAATGTACTTTATATTTTGAGAGATCTGCCAATCTCTCTGTACTTGGGTTTGATCTACCTGAGGTTTCTGAAATCCTTAGGCCTTGGCTGAGGAAATGGGGAGAGCTCTTGCTTTCTCAGGTACCTTCAGAGGATACTTCTTTTTCCTTCTTGCCTTCTTCCCAGCCCAATTCGGGGGGAGTGTGTGTTTGTGTGTGTGTGTATGTGTGTGTATGTGTGTATGTGTGAGAAAGAGAGAGAGAAAGAGAGAGAGAAAGAGAGAGAGAGAGAGATGGGGAGATTGGTAGGAATCCTTGTTTGGACTCATATTATTTTCTAGTCTTTTTGCTAGGTCCAGAGACTAGGCTTTTCAAAGTTAATATATTATTGAGAATGTATTATGTGCCAGGACTCTGGTAGGTATGTGGGTAAGGCACAGGCTATATCAAAGACCTTTTAACCTAATGTATTTGATAGACAAGTAAATTGAATTCTAAGGAAATATTTCTGTGTTTTAAATGTGAATATGTTTTTAAACTTTTTATAGGGGCAATATATTGCTCAGAGAATTCCCTACTGACACCTTGTTTGATGTGAATGCCATTGTTGCTCATGTTCTCTTGTAAGTATAGGAGCTATCCATTCATTTGTTTACTTGTTATCTATTGATTTTATTTTAAATAACCAAAATTTGTAAATATTTCAGGGTTTTAACATTATATTTGTAGGCAACAATTTCACACAAATTACTAGTCTATCTTCCCACATTGAAGATCTAAAATTTCTTTAACGGCAAAGGATACAGAAACATGAAGATGCTTTTAAGAGTAGGAGATGACTCAACAAGCCACATGGAGTGAAGTCCAACTGGAGTAGTGAAGATTTTGCCAGATATCTTAGTTTATTGAGGCTGCTATAACAAAATGCCATAGACTGGGTGGCTTATAAACAACAGAAATTTATTTTTCACAGTTCTGGAATCTGGAAGGCCCAAGATCAAAGTACTGGTATACAGATTTGGTATGGGGTGAGGGCCCCTGGTTTATAGACGGTCAACTTTTCCCTGCGTCCTCACATAATGGAAGGGAAGAGGGAGCTCTCTAATTGGTCTCTTTTATTAGGGCACTAATCTCATTCATGAGGACTCTGCCCTTAGGACCTCCTAATGTCATCACATTGGCAGTTAGGATTTCAGTATATGAATTATGGGGAGACAGAAATATTTAGACCATAGTACCACGTAGGAAGCTCATCTTTGTTTTTTGTTTGTTTGTTTTTGAAATGGGGTATTACTCTGTTACCCAGGCTGGAGTGCAATGGCATGATCTTGGCTTCCTGCAATCTCCACTTCCTAGGCTCAAGGATCCTCCCACCTCAGCCTCCTGTAGCTGGGACCACAGGCATGTGCCACTCATCTTTGTTATTCTCATTGGGATTTTTTAAGTACCTGGCTTTCTTCTTATCCCAGCTGGATTTCTTTCTGGATTCTCTAGCTCTGTGCCTGCTCAGTTAGTACAGAAAGAGTTCATCCAAGCACATACCTGAGTGTTGACTGAGAGAGGAAGTTTAAGTTTTCTGGCATAGAATCTTTAGGCCAGGTATTTAGGTCTGTCTGGAGTCCATTCCTGCAATCTACCCCTGAATTCAGTCTGATATTCTCTTTGGTCAGAGAGCTAGAAAATACGACTTGTTAAGGACACAGGTTTACATGGACTTTTCCATTTTAATGTTGTAAGCCTATTGTCCAGTAAGACCTTTGCCAACATTGGCTGTCTTTTTCTGCTTGGCTCTCTTCCTCTCTTAGCTACAAAAATTGGTAGTTTAACTCCTGGACATGCAAAGCTTATAGGTGAAAAGTTGTGCTTATCTCTTTACAAATGTTCCAGTCCAAATAATAATGTTAACAAAAGGCCTTTAGAAATTCCTGACAACCATGGACCCTGATACTTGTAGACTAATAAGCCAAATGTAATGAGCGAAGATGGTCTTTTGAGGAAGGAATTCCTTGGAATCCCTTTCCTGGGACAAACGGGTGACTGTTTTGATGGTGGGTGCTCTCCGAAGCTTAACAAAAAGTCCAAGTAATAGATAGGACATTTGTTCTCAGGAAGCTTACTAGTTTAGTTGTTTTCCCATTGAATACCTGATGACTATCTTTGACCCAGAAATGGGGTTGAAGAAACAGAAAAATAAGTCTTTTCATAAAGTATGCATCCAAATTTGACGCCAAATCCTGGAGTGGCATGTCCACATTGAACAACTTGATGACAAGATGATTTTGAAACCTCTGGCCATGGATATGGAGAGGCTGTGAGTTCTGAGGACCCTGTTAAATAAACTGGTTAGCCTGTGAGGCTTATCTTATTCAGTCCTGCTTTGGTAGTGTCCTGTTCTTAGTGCTGTACTAATGCTAATTTATAGAACATGAATTCCACAAATAGATTATTCCCCATGTTCCTGCTGTGTGCCAGATACTTGTTAGACATTGTCTATAAAAAACAGAATGGGATACGGCTTCTGTTCTTTAGGAATTTAGTGTTGCACAGGCAGATACAGAAACAAAATATTATTAATATATGGTAAGTAAAATAGTAGAAATATGTTTGCATAAGGGCTAATGGATCCACAGAGAAGGGAATTCTAGACTCATGTCTAGAATGTGGGTGGATATTTATTAAGTGAGCTGGTGTCCTGAGGGAAGTGGCAGTTGCGATGAGTGTTAAAGGTTAAGTGCTCGGTAAAGAAGGGGAAGGTGGGAAAAGCAAGAGGAACTTTGTGACAAAGACATGGAGCAGCCATGTTCAATCTTTTCTTTGGCTTCCCTGGGCCATATTGGAAGAAGAATTGTCTTGGGCTACACATAAAATACACTAATGACAGCCAATGAGCTAAAAAAAAAAAAAAAAAAAAAAAAAAAAAAAAAAAAAATTACAAAAACATCTCATAATATTTTAAGAAAGTTTTCAAATTTGTGTTGGGCCACATTCAAAGCTGTCCTGGGCTGCATGTAGCCCATGAGCCACAGGTTGGACAAGCTTGTCATGGAAGCTAGAAATAGTTGGGAGAAGGTAGTTTTGCCAGAGTATAACATGTGAAACAGGAGATAAGTGTAGAAACGTAGACATGGGATCAGAGGAAGTGAATTTTTGTTTTCTCTGTGTATAAGTTTAGGCTTTTGGGTAGCCACTGAAAAGTGAGGAGTCCAGATCCAGGCCAAAACCCTTACGTGATATTTTAGGCCTCATTATATGTAATATTCCAAGACTATGTGTGGCAAGCCTCACAGGGGGAAGCTGCCCTCACCATCCCACACTTGGCACACAAGCAGTACATTGCAGTTTTCTAGAGACAATTGAGGTCAAGGACATAGGCCCATCCCTCTCCTAATCCTTCAGACCCCATGCTTATATGTATGTCTGTATTCCTAGCCCAGCTGCCTCCATTTTGAGGCCTCCTTATCAGAGCCCTTGGCTAAGGTGCTTTTCTCCTCTTTGAGTCAGGTTCTTCCCACTCCTACCCCACATCCCTTTTGTTACCTCAAGTCCATGGGTCCATAAAGAAGTAGGGCCTGTTGTTTGGGACTCCTTGGAATGAGATGATTCCTTGTGTCTGCACTGCATCCACCTGACCCTTGCCTGTGGTCATTCCGATGGGTGAAAAATCTAACATTGTGGAGCCAGCACCTCTCTTTTTGCCTCTTGCTTGCACTTTACTAGTAAGTGAATGAAATCTTTCTTATTACTTTTAGTTTGGCTTGCTATTCTAATTGACCACTTTAAAACCTGATTACTCAGCAAAGAGCTGTAGGCAGGCAAGCAATGTGATCAGATTAGTACTTGAGAGAGAATTCTGGTGGATGTGAGATACGTCTGTGAGGTTTGAGCACATGTATAAATCATTCTGTGCCCACTGTATAATCTAGGTAGGTACTTTACCTCCCTAGGTTATACAGTGGGCACAGAATGCAAAGGGGGAATTTTCTTTTGAATGTTTAGGATGTGAAATTAGCTGGACTTGGTAATGGTTAATTTGGTAACAGTCAGTAAAATTACAAACTTGTTCATTCTTGATCTCTTTTCCTTCTTTCCTACCTTGTGCTACCCAGATCTAGTCTGATCACCATCTGAAATAGGCAAGGAAGAAGAGCAAATTTACAGAGTATAAGTCTACTTTAGCAAGTGTAATGTCCATCATGTCTCAGTCAGGCATCTATAGGAATCTGAGCCTCTGAACAGTATACATCGAGGTCTTGTTAACATATAGGTCAGCCAGGGAGCATCCTAGGGCAACACTACCACTTAAGAAGCTGAGAGAAAAAAATAAATGTCAAGGAAGTGGAATTCCAAAGAGGCAGTGTCCTAATTTTTGTTTAAAATGTAAGAAAATTACTTATGTAATACAGCATTTTATAAAATTTCCCAGTAATGATATTTACCATGTTGAAGAACTATGCCAAACAGTATGCTATCTCATAGCTGTACCTTGCAAACTGCCATTAGGAAAAAACCTGTCTTCTTACTTTTGTATGGTAGAACCATCAGTTTGAAATACCCAGTGCCTGGCTAGCAGTTTTTTTTTTTCTTTGTTGTACTCTTACATAAAAATGGATTTGAATTGTTGCTTGACAACTTTAGCCTGTTTTATTATTATGTTTTAAATTTTATTTATTTTGGAATGGGGTCTTGCTGTGTTTCCCAGGCTGGAGTGCATTGGCAATTCACAGGAGCAATCATAGCCCACTATGGCCTCAAACTCCTAACCTGAAGGGATCCTCCCACCTCAGCCTCCGGAATAACTGGGAGTACAGGTGCACACCACCACACTCAGCTTAAACTTTGTTATTTTCTAACAATTCTCCTTACATAAAGCACAAACTGTAAAAAAATTTTTTTCAAGTTTTTAATTTATCTTTTACATTTCCCTATTGTGTTCTTCAAAAAATTATGTATCAAATTTATTTTTTCTCTTTTTGACTTCTGGATTTTAAGTTGTACTACCTTTCCCTTATTCCATTGTTATAAATGAATTCACCCATTTTTGGGATTTTAGTTGGTAGACTTTGTTTCTTAGAGCAGTTTTAGATGCATAGAAACTTGAAAAATTTACAGAAAGTTGAGCAGGTAGTACAGAGAATTCCCATGTATCTCCTCCTTTTTATATAGTTTTCTCTATTATTAACATTTTGCATTAGTGTGGCACAGTCGTTACAATTGATGAACCAATATTGACATACTATTATTAACTAAAGTACATAGTTTACATTAAAGTTCACACTTTGCAGAAATGTACGACGCATTTCTACCATTAGTGTCATACAGAATAGATTCACTGCCCCAAAATGCCCTGTGCCTACCTATTCATCACTTCGTCTCTGCCCTACAAACCTCTGATCTTTTTTTATTTCTTTTGAGATGGAGCCTTGCTCTGTCACCAGGCTGGAGTACAGTGACGCAATTTTGGCTCACTGCAACCTCTGCCTCCCAGGTTCAAGCAATTTTCCTGCCTCAGCCTCCCAAGTAGCTGGGACTACAGGGGACTACATATTTTATATGTATATTTTATATACATATAATATATATTATATGTATATAAAATATACATATAAAATAACCACGTGTGGCT